GTCTAGAAGTACCCGTGGCTTTGAAATGTTATAGTTCGACAAACTGATCTTTTCTTTGAGAATTTGTTGTAGTGTTGTATCTTCCCTTGCTCATATCCATCAGCCGCTTTTTTGAGAGTTGTTTCACTTTTGTTTTCCGCTGACTGACGTCTTGCCGGGCATCTGTCAAAGTAACGCTTCCACGTTCTTTCGTTCCCTTTCACGACTCAACGCAGGTCCTAGTCGAAACGAGGGAGTTAGCTAACGTCAAGCTGGCCAGTGGAGCTCCATTGCTGGTAGATAAACCAAGAGCTAAATGAGCTTTTGTCTCACCAACATATATTACCTTTTTCTGCTGCGGGCAGGTCCTTCCCACATTGCCTTTCCATTTGTATTCTTTATTGCCCTGAATAACCCCAATTAACACGGATAGGAGTCTGGAAGTATAGAAAAATATATAAAAAGCCTGTGATAGATGTCGGCTTTGGAAAATAAAGCGATGGTGGCATATATGACATATTCATGGAAGGGAACACAGGAAACCTCATAGGCATGAAGGGATAGCTCTGCTCCCCATCGATGGATATCCGATGGTGGGCCAAGTTTTTTCGCAGCGTCCCTGGAGCTTGTTCTCTGACGCAGCGGGGCATTTTCTATTCAAAACTACAAGGAGTTACATTTCCTTGCTGGTTCCAAGCTTTGTTTTCGCTCTGTACTTCGCTCGTTCTACTCAGCGTGACGTACGTACTTCCACCCTTGCCAACTGTCACCATTCACAGCCAAAACTCTCATTGTGAGTTGGACACACCACCAGAAATCTAGCACTGCCTTGCATTGATAAGGTACATATGTGGGAGGATTTACAGAAGCTTTTCACAGAATTTTAAGAGTTACCCAAGGAAGTGGAAACACCTTCCGTTGCCGGCAGCCATTGACATTATGTGGGACTTCCGCTGCCTCAATTTCCGTCTGGCTTTTAGCCACTCTCACTCAATGACTCAAAGCTACTCTGAGATAGACCCACTCTCCGCCAGAATCGAGTACTCACAGTCGGTTCGAGATCCATCTCAGATTCTCAATGAATAATCTTTTTGTTGTGGTAGTGGTTTCAGAAATTTCAACGCTATCGCAAGACGAGGGGGCATCGTAGCTCGCATCTAAAACCACGTTAAATATTTTTTCCTTGACGATGGGACTATCCAAAGTCTAAGGCGAGAAGAGTCCCCAGAGTACTAAGGGAATTTCCTCCTTAGGCTCCTATCTGCTGGGCTCAGCCTTGCCCCGCATTTTGCTATAGCATCAAAATTCTTTTAGTTCTGCTCTCAGAAGTCCTCTCAACCGCCGTTCCCCTGGATCAGATCGGCTTTATCTGCTGTAGACATCAGAACTCTTTTTTAGAGATCGACAGTACATGTTCAGGCAGTTTCGCGGTACCTAATATCATCATACGTTTAAATAATTAATAATTAGTTTTAATTTATTTTAGTTTTAATAATTTAATAATTTAATTAAATGAATAAATGCGTTACTACCGTGTGTATATCAGAGCTAACAGTGTTGTAATCACTTCTCTGCTTTGAAAGGGCCTGCGTAGCTTTCCTTCCTGAAGTTCTAATGACTCATTTTCGGCCTTTTTACATAATTCAGCGATTTGTTTCATGTTTTCGGCTTAAACTATGCTTCTTCGTTACCAACTCTCTCACTTCCCTCCCTTCTATTCAAGCGACGGTTTTGGTCAAAAAAGAAGAAGTTACAAAATTAAGACTTTTGTTGGAGTTTGACTGAGGATATTCGTGATAGTTCCTTATAGACCCATTTGGCTGATCGGCGTCGGAATGGGCATAAAATGTGGCCGGCAGCTTGCC